TTTTTTAACATTTATTTATTTTTGAGACAGAGAGAGACAGAGCATGAATGGGGGAGGGGCAGAGAGAGAGGGAGACACAGAATCGGAAGCAAGCTCCAGGCTCTGAGCCATCAGCCCAGAGCCCGACGCGGGGCTCGAACTCACGGACCGTGAGATCGTGACCTGAGCTGAAGTCAGACGCCTCACCGACTGAGCCACCCAGGCGCCCAGTTGGTGTTCTTTTTCTAACAAAAACGTTGATAAATTTTTTTTCACTTTTTCCCTTTGTATTTTTTTTTATTACTTTCGTGTTAGCAAATTATCTTGCCTGAGCAGTTAAATCTTTTTAGATCTATTTTTTCTTGGTATTTTCATGGTTTATCATAGAATATGTCAACCTAAAATGGCCTTTAGATTGTCTCATCCAGCCCCTTCGTTTTAGAAATATATTTTAGAAACTTGTATCTTACCACTGACTTGCACTTAATAATTGTAAACTTTTACCATTTTGGTCAAAGCAAAGCCCTCAGTTAAATTCCTGTAACATTCTTAAGGAGGAGGATACTTTTATCTCTGCTTCGCAGTGGGGAAACTCAGTGCTCCAAGAAGTGATGATCCGTTTCCTCGGTCTAGGGCATGTGGTTATTAGCAGAGCCAACATCAGGAACCGTTTCATTGTGAATCCCCAACCTGGTCCCTTCATACTAATTCTGCATAGCAATAGGGCAGTCGTGGCTGTGAACCAGCTTCTGTAATCTGTTGCTATTGCACAAGGATTGTGTGCCTTGGCTCATTTCCATCCCATCCCACCCCCCCGTCATGTTTCTCTGTCACTCCATTTCTCTTCCTGTCCCCTTTATATTCTGTGACTCTCCACTTCCAGACTTTTGTATGTACTCGTATTGAAATCACATGCTCATATACCCAGTTGTGCTTTCCCATCTTTCCATCCCTCACACTCTGGGAAATTCTAGACTCTTGTATCCAGTGCTGCTTAACCCTGACCCCCTGCCCTGTCCCACGATACACACACACACACACACACACCCTTTGGACATAGGGTGACTCCACACTTCCATAATGCAGCACTCCTGCCCACATGGGTGCGAACCCACATGGGAGCTTGCAAACGGTATACGTTGTGGAAGGACCTCCTCTCTAAGTGGTGGAATAGTGGGGAGAGGGTGGAGATCATTTCTGAAATACGGTGGGTGGATAGCACCAGAGTTCCTAGTATTCTAACTAGATAGGACAAGAAATGCTTTCTCTGGTAGGAACAGTGTTACCACTGGTTTTTCTGATGTAGTGCAGTTCTAGAATTTAGCACATTGATTTTTGTTATTATTTGAATTCTGTGTTGAAGCCTATGAACAGAATTTCCATGGTTTCTATGGGAAAAAAAATCTGTGTTCCAGACATCCATTAAGAAGTCATTATTTGGATAATTTTTTTAAGTTGGAGACAATCAAATTTTCCTGAGAAATTATGTGTAAATTTAAAATTTCTGAGTTGAATCATTTTTTTAAGTTTATTTATTGTTGAGAGACAGAGTGCAAGCAGGGGAGGGACAGAGAGAGAGAGTCACAGAATCTGAAGCAGGCTCCAGGCTCTGAGCTGTCAGCACAGAGCCCAGTATGGGGCTCATACCCATAAACCGTGAGATCATGACCTGAGCCAAAGTCAGACACTTAACCGACTGAGCCACCCAGGCGCCCTTGAGTTGAATCATTTTATTTTATTTATTTATTTTTTTTAATTTTTCAACGTTTTTTATTTATTTTGGGGACAGAGAGAGACAGAGCATGAACGGGGGAGGGGCAGAGAGAGAGGGAGACACAGAATCGGAAACAGGCTCCAGGCTCTGAGCCATCAGCCCAGAGCCCGATGCGGGGCTCGAACTCACAGACCGCGAGATCGTGACCTGGCTGAAGTCGGACGCTTAACTGACTGCGCCACCCAGGCGCCCCGAGTTGAATCATTTTAAATGAACTAGAGAAGTTTATTCCTTAAATCCCATGAGAAATCAACTTATGAAGATGAATCACATAATCTGAAAGGTTGGTCGTTCCATTGGTTGTACATGTGCAGGTCTGTGAGCATGCACGTGCACGCGCGCACACACACACACACACACATTTGGTAGGAGATCCAGCTGGTAAAGCTCTTTAACAGCAGTTTGCCAGGATATTCATTTTAAATGTACATACTTTTTAACCTGGCAGTTTCGTACTTAAACCCTATCCTATAGAAATAGACTTATACACAAAGATTTAAGGAAAGCAATAGTTCTCAAACATTTTTGGTCTCAGGATCCCTTTACACTCAGAAAATTTATTGAGGGACCCCCAAAAGCTTTTGTTTTATGAGTTACAGCTACTTATTTTTACCATATTAGAAATTAAAACTGAAATGTAGAAAAATTATTTATGACATCCCTCTAGAACCATTTTCCAGAATAACAATAATTGGAGAGAAGACTAGCATTGCTTTATATTTTTGCCATCTCTTTAAATATCTGGCTTAATGGAAAATAGCTAGATTCTACTATCTACTCCTGCCTTCAAGCTGTTGCAGTATGTTGTTTTGGATGAAGTATATGAAGAAAATCCAGCTTCACACAGATAAGTAGTTGGAAAAGAGGGAAAACCTTTTCGGGTAATTGTAGATGTACTTCTTGGATACGACACCAAAACTCGGCTTGTAATAGTTTCTAAAATGTGGAATCTGAGGCCACATTAATGAACTTTTCATACTGTGGTACATTAAAAACTACTGGTTTATGTTTCACTTTGAATGGTGGATCTTTTAGTCATTCCTGATTTTTTTGAACATCATGTCATTTGAAAAATAATGGTTTACTGAGTTCAGCAGATCTGCCAAATGTTGCTACATCTAATTCTACATAATGAAAAAGTCCCATTTCTTAACATCACCACTAATATCATTAGAAAAGTCGTTAAGTATTGGACTTAAGCTGTCCAAAATTCTAATTTCACTTGAAAGTTCAGATTTTATTATTGGCAACAAATACCTCCAGTTGTTTTCTTTGAAGTGACAGGCTCACTGTGTTCATTTTCGAGAAAGTGTCTGCTAAGTACCGGGTCTGAATAACCATAGTTCATTTGTCAGTTGCTCTTTCAAGGAAACCTGGTGATCCATGAAAAAGGCAGTTAAATTCAACTCACTACTGAAACCGTTGCGCAGGTACTTTTCCTTGAGACAGGTGTCGTTCTTCCGTATGGCGGCAGAAGTGAAAAAGGCTGTTAGAAATGCCCTTCCCATGGGGCGCCTGGGTGGCGCAGTCGGTTAAGCGTCCGACTTCAGCCAGGTCACGATCTCGCGGTCCGTGAGTTCGAGCCCCGCGTCAGGCTCTGGGCTGATGGCTCAGAGCCTGGAGCCTGTTTCCCATTCTGTGTCTCCCTCTCTCTGCCCCTCCCCCGTTCATGCTCTGTCTCTCTCTATCCCAAAAATAAATAAACGTTGAAAAAAAAAAATTAAAAAAAAAAAAAAAAAAGAAATGCCCTTCCCTTTTCATCTATGCATTTGTGCAAAGCCAAAGTTTCTTCATATACGTCAGCCCAACAGCATATAATGGCAGATTGAATGAAGAAGCAGATAGGAGAATCCAGTTAGGTACACCTCCCATTTCACCACACAGGCTGAGAGCTGTGTACTCAAGGGTCAAGATGTAATGATTTTTAGCTTCTTCATCAAGGGCCATCCTACACAGAACTGGCATTTTTCACTTTGACCGTGTGGCGGTGATGAATCAGGTGACCATAGTACAGTTTGGTGCCACGACACTGCCTTGATGCATGGCACATCACAGCAGTTTTTACCCCCCTGTGCCTTTTGCACCCTCAGTAGAAATGGCAACACAATGAAATGGCAAAATGTCCTACTATCTGAAAATAGTTATGCCATCCTGGAGCCTGAAGTAGGTAGAGAGGGAGGGCTCCCTAGAGCTCGCAGAACAAAATTTGAGATCGTGTATAGAGGTGTTCATTCCAGCACTATCTCTAAAACTGGCTGATTAGCAAAATCTACATGCCCGTTAGTAAGTATGGAGAATGACTGACTAATTCCAACGTGTCCACTGAGCCATTAAACAGAACTTGGTATTTTTCTGTATCTACCTCTAAGACGTGTCCTTGAGGAAAAGGCAACTTGCAGAGCCTTTTATAGGTATGGCCATGTTTAAAAACACACACAAACTTACGTGTGTATATAAAGAAGCCACAGAAAGGAACGTGGCATTGTGTCCACCGTACTGATAGTGGCTGACTCCAGAGAAGTGGAGAGGCGTTGAGGGTGGGGGCGGAGAGGCAAGCAAGTATGGAGCCTTCACATATTCGTGTAGATTACTTAAATCTTGGACAATATACAGTTCTTGTGTCTATTTTTTTAAAGCTTCCAACGAGAATATATAATCACCTTTTTCCTCCCCGTGCATCTCATTTTCAAAGATACCTTTTTTAAAGCCCTTCTCGAGTTTGGAGTTAATGCCAAACCTCACTAGGGTTTAGACCTGTGAAGATTAAAACATCTGAACTTTTTCATTTTTGTCATTAAACTTGGATATGTAGTGATGTTGTTTTGCTTAACAGGATGTAAAGAGATGGTACCTGATCCCCTTCCCCTCACTTATTTTAGGTGGCTGAACTTTACTTTTCTAAGAATTTTAGAACGTCTTTAAGAAAATTTACCATTGAGTAATCTTAAGCTTGGAAAACATGAACCAAAAGCTAATTTTTTTCACCTAAAAATATGGAGAGGGGCACCTGGCTGGCTCATTCGGTAGAGCAAGAGACTCAGGGTCACCATCTTGGGGTCGTGAGTTTGAGTCCCACGTTGGGGGTAGAGTTTACTTTAAAAAAAAAAATACGGAGAAACTGGAAGTCTTTGTTTTTACAAAAAGTTTATTTTGAGACTTTGAATTGAGACTATTAAATTCTAAAATAGATAACATTTGTTGGTTAAAGCCTTGGTTATTTGGATTTCCCCAATTTGGAATGGGGCTGGGCTGACATTTAATCATTGCACTATTCTTAGAGAAAAATGGCCATAATAAGCGATTTAATCATAAATAGAACTGTGTGAGGGGAGTGTTGTCTTCTTTCAATACAATGTAATAAAGTGAACTGCTTGGGACTGCTATTTGATATACCAATTTGACTATTATACTCATCTATTTATTAAGTCAGAGAACATTTATTGGCAGCACTTAGTTTCTGTTTGCTTAGATGTATTCTTGAAACTCGTACTCATTCAAAGTTCTCTTATTTGAACTTATACTAACTTAGGCAAAGCTTCACTCTTTCCCTTCGCTTAGTCTAAAAGTAATAAGATTTTGTTAAATGTGGAGCTTTGCCAGCACAAGAGCAAAGCTATTAAAATTTAGCAGAATCCCTTTGGTGCACATAATAAAGCCATAGGAATAAATATCGTCGCTATTTTGGAGGTTTTTTTATGAATAAAGAATGAAGTTTACATTCGTGGGTGGCAATGCTGCTTTTCTTGTGTAATATTAAACTCCGGTATCTTTATCAACAACAGCACTGTGCTGGTCATGGAGTTATTTTGTAATACATCTTGATCTTTTACAGTCTGGTTAGGAGCACAAGGCTAGTGAAACTTAGAAAATACTGTAAAATCAAGTACTAAATTGTGAGGGTCACAGGAAGAACTGGCATAAAAAAAAAAATCTACTCCAAATTACAGCTTAGTAAAAGGCATTTCTGGAACTAGATCACTAGAAACTTAGAGGTTCTAATCTAGATAAAAGTTTAACAGATCAGGGTGGGAGCAACTGAAATGAGATTGATCTAAAAGATGTTCAAGGAAAAATGAAGTGGACCTCATGGTTAATAATACAGGGGCTAGAGAAAGCAGAAGAGATAGAGACAACCACAGGGATTTTGAGATAGCATGAACAGAGAGGGGTTGGCATTGCTACATATGGGAAGTTGGGAGAGGAAACGAGAAGCAGAAATTTCAGAACAGGTTAGTTAATTTTTTTCAACATGTTGCATGTGAGGTCACTAGGAAACACCCATCAGGACAGAGGAGGGAAGATTGAGAACCATTAGTACAAAGGTCCTGACATAGAAGCAATAAACGTGAAACGGATTGAAGCCCTGAGACCTGGGCTTCCCCTTAGTGCCCTCCAGTTAGGGGCAGGAGGAACTAAAATGACTGAGAACCAGGGTGGTTTAAGAAGTCCAGTGGGCATCACCAAAGGCGAGCAGGGCAGGGTCAACAAAGAATGGATGGTCCGCAAGGCAAGCGAAGGCTTCTTTGGAGATGGAGAGACAGATATGAGAAGGCAGGGATGAAGGGTTTTCATTAGTCGCCAGCAATGATAGATGGTTCCTAGTTGGGTTTTTGTAACCAGACACCGTCACGGCTATTTCACAAGTAACCAGCCTGTGCGTTTCAATCCTTCAGGTGGTATTGGAATGCTATGTAAGAAAGGACTTGGTCTACACCAAAGCCAACCCAACCTTTCATCATTGGAAGGTCGACAATAGGAAGTTTGGACTTACTTTCCAAAGCCCTGCTGATGCTCGAGCCTTTGACAGGGGAGTGAGGAAAGCAATCGAAGACCTTATAGAAGGTATTGAATTTTGTCACTGCATTCTTAGGGGGACAGTGGGAATGTTCCAGGGTCTTTTTTATTCCAGTTGTCTGCCATCATATATTTGTGGTTTATTTGAGGGAGGCCTGGGGTGGGCAGGTCAGTAGATGGCAAAACTTGAGGAACATCCACAGAGAACAATTACTAAGTGACAGTGCAGGGGGAAAGGAGTTGGGTTTCAGACTAAGGAGTGAACCCAGTTGTTTTTCAGACTCTGCTCTGGAAAGACAAATTCTGGACTTCCATGTCAATGACTTTTTGACAGATTACACTTTTCCCTGACTATTGAAATGCCTTCGGTCTGATCTGTCTTGGCTCGGAAGGTGCCAGGCCTAGCGACTGCCGTCCTATAATGAGAGCTCACGGTGTGTGGCTGTACTGAAAAGGAAGGGGATCTGTAAGTCCTGGAGCCCTGGTTTGGTGTAGGGCTTGGTCTGTGGGTGAGTGGGGAGTAGACAATGTGTTGCCTCTGAATGTGGCCTGGAAGGCTCTTGGGCAGTCAGTTCTCACGGGCTTTTCTAGGGTCCACAGATGCAAACACACAAACTCTTTACATTCAGTTATCCATTCAGAGAGTTAAAGTGGCCATAGCCAGAGCCCTTTAAAAAAAATAAAGCAAGGCATGTGAAAGCCAAATCCAGAATTTGGGGAGACTAATTACAAAAGAATGTATGCTTCATTTGTTTAAGACATAGAGTGTTCTGAAGTCATTTTCTTCTTTGTGGATTTGGGGGAAAGAGCGAAAAGCAAATCTTAAAAAGGAAACTTGCTTAACGTTAGTAGTAAGAACATGAGTCTGTTCACTACAACGTGTGATAGCCAAAAAGGTAATTAAAAATCAACGTTCACATTCTAGGTCTGACGTAAGGTGGCAAATATTTAAAAAGTTGTTATGAAACATAGCTTTTAAAGTGTAGAGAGAAAGTAGCTCCCATGTTGCTTATAGAATTGTACAGTATGTCCACTTATTCTGTGAAGGTACACACAAAATTTGATTCTCTTACTTGTAATTTTTTTCTCCATATATACTCTCTTTAGCTGTTTCTGTCAAACTTTCCTCAGATGTTGATGGACTGGAATAATTTAACTAGTAGAGAAAAGTCCTGAAAGATCAGTAGTAATTGTGCAGAAGACTTACTTTTTTCTCCTGCAGTCCCCCGGTAGAAATTTAAATAGCTCTCATCCCTTTCTGAGCAGTTTTTTAAATTTCAGCTGAATGTAATAGCAAAATATTTTCTAAATGCACATTTTTAAAGACCTAACCAAGAAAAGGAGATAGAGAAGAAATTTGCCTTTTGGTATACCTATCATTTAGGCAGAGTTCAACGTTTTTCGTTTGGCCATTAACAGTATCCGTTAAGTTGGTCCATGCATTATTGGGTATTGCGAGGGGGAAAGGAAGAAGTTACACAGATTTGCATGCCAGAATGAAGAAAGGGATGAACAAGTAAGTAATAAATCAAACCCTAAATGACCAAAGCATTCCATAATGGAATAAACTGGGTTTTCTGACAGGAGCCCAAATTTTGGCCTGCAGAAACAGACAACTCACAGATGCCCCAATATTGCAAAAGAAAACCTCCTTGCGTGGGTATCTGCTTTGAAGGCAGCTCCCACAGTCTGGGTTTTTGAGTCCAGTGTCTGAATTTCAGAACAGGAGGTGACCAAACAAGCTATTTAGTCAAACCCTCGTATTGCCAGATGGAAAGACCAGAAACTGACACGGAGACCGTTGCGGGTGTCTCTTTCTAGTGCTTTCCCCACTACCCTGTAGGGGTCTGGGGGGACACTGGCAGAGCCTGGGCTTCAGCAGGTGCTTCAGAGCAGTGGGCTGGCTCTCCTCTCCACGCCCAGGTGACTCTCCGGGTGCGTGTTCTCAAGTGGCCCATGCAGAAGCTTGAGGGATTAAGAACAACAGTAGGCAGGGTTAATTTAGGGAATGTCCTAACTAGAGTCAATTAAAGAGGAATAAATTTAAAACATTTAATTCCCAGGTTACATATTTCTGCTGATGATTCACATTTGAAAGGAATGGAATGTGGTTTTATTAAAATATGTTTTTTAAATGATTGGTTTTGACTCACCTTCTTTGGAACTGTGTTTTATCACATTTTTTGTCTTTTTAGGCTCAACCACATCATCTTCCACCATCCATAATGAAGCTGAGCTTGGCGATGATGACGTTTTTACGGTAAGTTCCCTTTGTCCTTTGCTTTGTGGATGAGTTGGTGAATAATCAGAGAGAGGTTCTGTTTAAGGATGTGAGAGACACTTTGCAATTTGGCATTTGCCATTATTATTGGGAGGCCATGGGGGAGATCTCTGTCTTGTCACAGTTTTGGCTGTGCTAGGTTTGCCCATGTTGTGGGGGTACCATTGGCCGCCTGACACAACTGCGGCACCTCTCTCCGACCTGTCCCAGGTTCTCTCACAGCCTTCCCCAGATTTAGGGTGACCAACTCTCCGGCTTGCCTGGGACTGTCCTACTTTTACCACTGGGAGTCCCTAGTCGGCAAAACACCTCAGTCGCAGGCCAACCGGGACAACTGGTCGCCCTACTTAGAGTCTTCTGTTAACACATCTCCTTCTCTGGCATCAGGGAAAAAGCCAGAGTAGCCTTTCTGAAGAGTAATTAAACATCTGTGATAAGAGAGGCCTGAAGGCTGAACTGGAGTAAGGCGCAAGTATGCTAAGGCAGGAAAGGGCTTGGCTCTTTTGACACAGCAGGAGTTAATGGGATATTACTGGAAACAAAATGATTTCTCAGCTTGCATTGTCTTTGAAATCCTGTGCTTCTAAAAGTTAATTAACAAACAGTTCATCACACACCTGCTGTGTGCTTGGTGCAAGGGAGGAAGCTTTAGGGCAGCGTTTTCAAACTCTTGGCCCCCACACACAGTAAGAGATACATTTGCATTGTAACCTAGGACACACGCACACCTGAAATCAGATCTTATTTCATGTTCTGCATTCTGATTTTTTTTCTCTTCTGTTTCATTTTCTGCCACTTTTTACTATGAAACTTCATAAGCACACTGGAAAATTTAAAGAATATCAGTAAACCTCTACATTCAGCATTTGCCCCGTTTGCTTTATCTGTACCTGTAGATACTTACACATGCACACACACGTGATTGTTTCTGTTTTTTGCCAGTCCAGTTGAAAGTAAGTCACCTCAATGTTTTAATTCTCTAGCATGCATCCCCTAAAAGCAAGGCATTCTCTTCCACAAGCGTGATGCCATTACTATACCTGGGAAAATTAATAGGGATTCCCTAATATCATCTAATAGTTCCCCACTAGTTCCTCCCTTATCCCAAGAGTATCTTTCATAAGCTGTTTTTATTTCATATTTGTAAATACCAGCTGCAGCCCTTTAAATGTGTGTCCTAATGCACTCATCATGGAACCAGTGATTTGAAAAATGCTACTTTAGTAACAGAGAGGTGTAGAAACTATGCCTCGAGCCCTCATGGAGATAACAGGGTGGTTTGGGCAGAGATAAGATGGACCCACGGGAGGCTTGGAGAATGGCACCCACTGTGTAGTCAGTCCTCTAGTCCAGGGTACGTTACAGGGAGGGGTCTGGGGATCAGAGAAGACCGCTAGGAGGTGAGGCTGACCTATTCCTCGGTGGCATTTGAGCCCAGCTTGGGAAGGGGCTTCAAAACTGGGAAGCACAGGGCAAAGGCAGAAGCAGGGATGTGCACGGAGAGTTGCCTCTGCGCCACGGGCCCCAACCTGATGTGAACAGAGCGTGCATAGGGGTGTCAGGAAATGACCTCAGTTGTCTTTGCATTGAGCGGCTGGTGTGATTGTGGCTCAGAACAGGCTTCCTATAGTGCTCCAAGCAGATCCTCTCAACAGTTGGCATTTGCTTACATCTGTTCCTTTGTCACGTTTTCGAGAGACAAACAACAGCAGGCGGGTTAAAAGGTGGCTTCCTGTGCTCCAGAGCAAAACTGTCATTCGCAGCTGCTTCCCAGCTACCTGCCAGAAGTGATTTATAGAATCGTGAGAGGGCAAGGGGGACTGGGGTGATGGAAGCCAGCATCCCTCCTGGTTTTGTCCTTTAATCCACAGGGGCTCAACTTGCTGCTCTAGGGTAGCAGAGAATGCCCGCAAGGAAGTGTAGAAACAGCCCTGCTGTTTGCAGACACTGGAACTCAGTGGGGAAGGAGCTCCACTTAATTGCGTTCCGTGTAGGCCCTGACATATCTTTGCCTTCATTCCATGTGTTTACCAACAAGGGCCTATTAACAATAGCACCTCCCTTCCCTAATGGCCTCTTCATTAGCCATTGACCGTTAGGAACTCCTACCCTGTAAGGATGGGGGAGGGTCATCAGGGGCTTATGCACCAGGTTTCCCATTGGATCGTGAGCTTCCCGTCACTAGACTTTCTGTCCTAAGATGGAAAGTGAGGTATCCGAAACCTGGAGCCCAGGAAGTGAGCTGCTGTGTTGACTCCTGTGTAGTCTATAGCTTCCCAAAGCTTGTCGTGTTCTAAAACTTTTATTGATAGGACAGATATTTAGAACACAGAACTCATTTAGTGTGGAAAGAGTATAAATAGGGGGGTGGCTGGGTGGCTCAGTCGGGTTAGCATCCCACTTCAGCTCAGGTCACAATTTCGTGGTTCGTGAGTTCGAGCTCCATGTCGGGCTCTGTGCTGACAGCTCAGAGCCTGGAGCCTGCTTCAGATTCTGTGTCTCCCTCGCTCTCTGCCCCTCTCCCACTCACACTCTGTCTCTCTCCGTCTCTCTCTGTCTCTCTCAAAAATAAATAAACATTTAAAAAAAGAAAGAAAGAAAGAGTATAAATGGTGATAAGACCTTCTAACAACTCATGATGGACCCGAATTATGAGGGCTTTCTGGGAGGACAGCAAGTGTATATGTGGTTATAACTTGAGGAACCAGGGAGTATAACTTCTGTTTTTGCCACGAGAGCCAGGGGCTTCCCTCTGTTTCAGGGGATTCCTTGGGGCTAGAAGGAAAACAGGACATTGTGGACAATATGTTGATGCACATTCTACGGTGGGGCATAAAGTGGAGGAAGAGACCCGCCAGCTCCCCCTGGAGTTGTTGGGCACTCACCAAATACGGGCTGTCTCTGCTCACACTTTCCCAGCTCTCATGGTCATCCCCCAAACCAGCTTGTCCTCCTGACTTCTCAGGATTGAGAAACCGTGCTGCAATTCCTCAGAGTAAAATTAGCGTCCTGCTTGGCGTGTGCACGAGTGGGTGCACATGCGCACACACACACACCATCGCACACGCTGCCCGTGCATCTGTGGCCACTTGCCAACACCATTGCCCCCTCAGTCTTCCCATGCCTCTCCATTCGTTCTGCTGCCACCAGCCGGCTGTGTGTCCACATCCTTCCTGCCCAAGCCACCAGCAGAGACTCCCGATGAGCAACTGTTCTGATTTTCTGAGTGTGGACTGTTTATTCATTTGTGTGTGTCCTAGTATTTCTCCCTTCGCCAATTATGATTGTTTTCTCTCCTTTAAAATTCCAAAGCACTCTGCTGGTGATTTCTGGCTTGCCCCTTGAAAGCCTGCCCTTTTTCTGTTTTCAGATTTTTTCTTTACTGAATGAATGAATCTTTAATTAGAAGCAGGACATTCGTCATGATAGTCTCTGCATCCCTGTAAAGCTTTGCTCTAAAGGTGCTCAATCAATGGGTGGTCTGAACCCCAGATATAGTGTGTAACAGTCATAGGTTTCCATATTTTATTCATTTGCTTTGTTGTTATCCTGGGGGGCCATGTAAAGTTGGGTGATTTTGAGGGATTCTCGGTAGCTTCATGTCTTGTTTTTCTAGCTTTCTTTTCTGCTGCATCTACAAATGGGAGCTGTGCTCCTAGCATCGTCACTCGCTGTGAGCTCTTGACTGCTCACACGTACCTTCTCACCCTTCTGTGAACTCTCTACCCTTTGCAGTACTGTCTCTTCCTGGACCTCAGTTACAGTGACTGACCCAGGTGAACACAAATACCTAGATGGCAAGGGTGTGCTCAGCGTTGAATACGCAGGTATGAGGCTTGAGCCATTTGGTACAAATTTGGAAGATGAGTAATGCAAACAATATAAACAACAACAACAGTTAGCGTTCTGTTTAACAGGAGGTTGTTTGTTTGTTTGCCACTGCTAAGAATTGGCACACTCATGGGGCGCCTGGGTGGCTCAGTTGGTTAAGCGGCCAACTTCGGCCCAGGTCATGATCTCGCTGTTCGTGAGTTCGAGCCCCGCATCGGGCTCTGTGCTGACAGCTCAGAACCTGGAACCTGCTTCAGATTCTGTGTTTCCGTCTCTCTGTGTCCTTCCCCCTGCTCGCATTCTCTTTCTCTCAAAAGTAAA